ATTGTATTTTCATTTATTAACATTCCTGTACTTTAGAATCATTCATTTGGGTCCTACCTACGCTAAAGTTTTATTAATTACCTTGCATACATGTTAAAAGCTGCTTATTAGGGTATGTGCAAATTCGAATTGTTAATTTGTTATGCTTAAACGATTTCAGTTTTAAATAATTTTACTTGTTTAATGATTGATCAAACTTTAGTAAATTTTTTAATTTTCAATTTATATAAATTTTTAAAAAGTTTAAGGATCATAAAAAGAAGATTCATGGATTTAAAACATAATAAATTGACAATCTTCTCATTAACATAGTATGAAATATGAAACATTAAGAACTACGCCAATTTAAGATCATGAAACACTAGAATTGTGTAGACCAAATAAGAAAAAAAGAAAAGGATAAAAAATTATGAGTGGTGAGACAATAAATCTTGTATTTCAATTGAAATATAATAATTAACTAACAAATGTTGAAAGCTAACTAAAATATTGATGCCAACGATGTCAGATTGAGGCCCGCCCCAACCAACAGTTGTCGGTAGGTACAAGGATTCTAACCAACCTTTGATCTAGGTAGAAGGATTCCAATGAACAATTCCAAAGTATAGGAATGTTAATCAGTGGCAACATATACTACAGGGATATCGACTGACATAAACGACTAAGTCCCTTGCGATCATGACATTATTTTCGTTCAATTTCACATATTGAATAAATTCATTGATTTAATAATATTTTATAATTATATTGTTATGTTAATAGAGAGATAAATATGAGAGTTTTTTTTTTGAATAAACTAAAATTAATACATATTTAATTAAAAGAGATTGGAAAAAGGAATTTCGTAGACGTTAAACAAACAATTTATAAGAGGTTTATATTAGCTCAAAGTTAAAACCATTGGGGTAGAATTGTGGGAACTATAGGTGTTTTTGTTTTTTTTAACAAAATTAGATTTGATTCAATTTTATATTAATTAGGGTATAATATGACTTTTATATATGAGAGTTTAACATTAAAAAATAATATTCTACAATCATACTATAATTTAACATCTATTATAGGCAAAATAAAATCTCTCTTAGTTTCTTAAGGGGTTTTTTTTTTTTAACAAAAGTTAACACTATTTTTTTATAATAAAATG